AAAATGCCATCTTCATTGACCTAGCACAGTTTAAAGGGTCTGTGATCAGAACGTCGCAACGGACAAAGGGAGGTTTCTGAAAATCATTGTCATTGGAAGGATTAGCGTATGCAGCTTACAAGTTTGCAGGCACAAGAAAGCTGCTGCTCCATAATATTCAGGCCAATATACCAATGCAATGATACCGTGCAACTAGGCACAATACAGAGCAAGAATTCGGCAACAAAAAAATATATTTGTAGCAAAAGAAAAAGGAACCCCTTTTTTTGTCATCTTCCTTAGGTTGCATGATTTTTCTTTAATTTTGGAGGAAACCAATAGAAGTCTTTTACTTCACAGAAACCAATAGAAGTCTTTTTACTTCTCAGAGAAATGTTTATTGTGGTGTGAAAGAGTTACTGCTTGGAGAATCAGTTCTTAGCCCTTGTTTAGGTGACCAGGTAAACATGGACTAGCAGCAAAACATCAAAACTCTTTGTCCGCAGACATTTGTCAAGGGAAAATATTTGAACATTAAAATTTGAGGTGGAACTAAAAACAAGGCGTTAGGTGACCAGGTAAAAGTAGCAACAAAATCTGGAGCTGTTTGTCAAGGAATAACATCGTAGGTGAACACGTATGAACACATGCCACGAAAATCCACACGATCTGTACAGTCTCTGGGTCATCAGAAACAGTGTAAAAAAAGGCATAGCTTGTCCACAAAGACAAGAACTTTCTTTGGGTTTTACTACTTCATGAACAGGCAACTGGCAACCTTACGCCAAGAGCAGATTTCAACTGTCAAAGTTTGGTCATAGAAAGCATGGCACGCAGACTTGTACAGTTACACATCATCGACAATTCTTAAGGAAATGTCTAGTCAACAACCGGTTGTTTTAGCCCTTCCCATCAGCCAAATTTTTCTCATACGCTTACACTGTCTTATAACTATATTTACACTGTCTTATTACTATATTTACAATGATTTCTTCAGTGTAATTTATTGAAAAGAGTGATGTAATTTGGGAATAAGACAAATATATACCAAATTTTTCAAAAAGATTTATAAATTGTTTCTATGAATTCCAGACATCAGATAAATATATATCAAATTATTCACAAATTCTTTAGAAATTAAAAAAAACAAAATCCACACAAGGAGGTGAGAGAGGAGAGATTGTCGCCGGGTGTTCCGTGCTCGCGTTCGTGTGTCAGGTAGGGACACAGGCACCGGCATGATTGCTTGCTTGACGTTGAAGCTGAAGCCGAGCGGACGCACGCATGATCGCAGGCGGGGGAGGCCGACGCTTCCGCATCACATGGCCCAAAAAACAGTTGATAACAACCGACAAATCAACCGATTGATCATTAGCCTTTCTGTTTCTGTACTACTTTTCACCTTCGTCAAGGAGGAAGGCCACGCAACGCCTAACCCACCGGAAAGCCCGGTCACGATCCAAGATTGGTTTTTGTTGGCCCTCGTCTTAGACCTTGGGGCCAATGTAATTAAAGGAGTTGCTCAGTAAACCAAGAAAGGTAAAGGAAGCCAGAGTGAGGTAAATCAAAGTGTAGATCATACAACACAAAGGTAATCAATATATTCACCTCCGAAGTCAATGAAAAAACCTCGAAGGTTTTCTCTCGTTAGTCTACTTTTGTGGTTCTTATTAAATATCAAAGTTGTCTGTCGTTATACATGTAATTCACTTTCTTCTTAAATGAAAAAAACTTGCTCATTTCTTATCTAACTAATGTATGATTTACTCCTAAACTTATCGCTGAATTAAAAAGATCCTCGAACTCAAATACCAGATAACTTACCTCCACCAACTTTTAAAACTACGTAAAATACAGATTGCATTCGCTTAGCAACCAAATAACATCTTGATTTTTCTAGAATCCATGTTATATCACGGTAGACGCACAACTGTACGAGTCCATGTGTTCCCCATATCATGTGCCTACGGATAAAGGTTTTTGGGAATATGTACCACGGATCTCGCATGGACATATGTAGCTAAAGTAGGGCGGTAGCATAGATTTCCAATACAAGATCTCAAACGCCGTTCCTCGCGGTTGTGCTTGTCCGGACACCATATCCATTATCGTCACCTCTGGGTCCGGGAGGGCCTGCTCTTGAGGTTGAGCAGAACACTTCTGGTAAGTCTCGTACAAGAGGAAACACTCGTTGGGTTTCAGCAGTTTGTTCATGCTCCAAATGCGGCGAGGACCATCCTTGGCTTTGAGGTCGTCCGGGTGCTCACCGAACAGCACGAGGTTCTTCCGCATATAGTGCCTCGCCGTCGCGAGGACCTTGCACCAGAGCTGCCGGCTGCTGAGGTCGGCTCTCACCATGGCGGCCATGATGTTGGCGACCATGAACGACCCCCGCGCCTCGACCGCCATTTCCATGGCCACCGACGCCAGCTTCGGGTGCTCGTCTGGATCAGCGCTCCCGAACGTGCTTAGCTTGAAGAAGTACCACATGGCTTCCGTGCTGAGGCATCTCAGCCGGACAGCTCGTGTCGTCCCGAACCTCTCGATCTTCTCAGACCGGCTCGTGAGTATCACCTTGCTCCCCCGCGGCATGCATCTTCTTCCACGAGAGTAGAAGAGGTTGTTCCATGCCTCGTCGTCCACGTCCCCTGAAAGCTCAATCACAAGCAACCATCTTTCGTCCTCCGTATTGCTCTGATGCTTGGTCGCGCAGTTGTCCCTTAAGCTGGCCATGGTTCCAAGACCTCCAACGCCAGCACTCCCGGCAGTAGCGTGCAACAGGATCAGGGAGAAATGGCTGCGCACTCTCTCGTCGTTGCAGACATGCTCCACAAGAGTGCTCTTCCCGATGAGCGCGGGGCCGACGATCGGAAGAACGCCCGGCCCCGGGATTGCAGCAGCCATCGGCACCGGCGGCTCAGCTTGCAACAAGAATTCAAGAACCTGGTCCCTCTCCGCGTGTCGGCCAAACATGCACTTGTCCAGGAACAGATGGGCGCTGTAAGGCTGGCGGCACGACACGGGTGGGCAGGCCGTCAGGAACACGGCCAGCTCCTTGGCGTCGGCGAGGATGGCCTCCAGGCTGCGAACCATCCGCTGCAGCTGGAGAGAGGTGTCCCTCCTGCGGGCCGGGCCGGCCGTGGCTGTGGTCTCCGACGACGACTGGCACCGGGCACGCTTGGCTGGGTCGAATATGGACGAGGCGAACGCTGGAACCACCTCCTTGCTGCCGTCGTCTTCTTCCCGCCGGTCTCCTCCGCCGGTGTCGTACCTGACGGTGTCGAGGACGTAGTGGCCTCTCACCATCGCGTCGCTCAGGACCCTGAGCTGCCGGAGCACGCCACGGTTGGTGACGCGCCGACCCTCGGCTTCCTCGACGATCGTGGCGCTCCTCAGGAGCAGGAGCCGCAGACGGTGCATCAGCCTCTCCTCCTCCCGCTCCCGGACGGCCGCCGGCACCGGCATCAGCCTGCTCCCGCACGTGGACACCAGGAAGGATACGGCTCTGCTGGCGAGCTCGCTGAGAAGCGCATTGCGGAGCGCTTCCATTGTGACCCTGCCTAACTGCAAGCAACGTGGGGACTGGCCGACTGGGGATGTGGATCCCCAAGAAAACAGAGGGTAGGCAAGTACAGTCAAAGCGTCAATCCGAGTGCTTTCGGCTCTGAAGCCAGCCAAGAGCCAACGAGTACTGAGGAAACCAGCTCGAAACAGAGGGTTGCCCTATGTCTAGCACTCTAGCTTTTCTCTAGAAAATGTCAGTCAACGACGGGTTGTTTCAGCCCCTTCTAGCTTTTCTCTAGAAAATGTTAGTCAATGACCGGTTGTTTAAGTGCTTTATTACTATATTTACAATAATTTTTTAGTGTAATTTATTAGAAAAAGTGATGTAATTTAGAAATAACACAAATATATGCTAAAATTTTCAAAAAGATTTATAAATTATTTATATGAATTCCAGACATCAGAGAAATATATGTCAAATTATTCACAAATTCTTCAGAAATTAAAAAAAACAAAATCCACACAAGGAGGTGAGACAGGAGGAGAGATTGTCGCAGGGTGTTCCGTGCTCGCGTTTGTGTGTCAGGCAGGGACACAGGCACCGGCGTGATTGCTTGCTCGACGCAGAAGCTGAGTGGACGCACGCATAGGGATGCATCGTATGCACACACGCGCCAGCATGATCGCAGGCGGGGGAGGCCGACGCTTCCGCATCGCACGGCCCAGAAAACGGTTGATAACAACCGACAAATCAACCGGTTGATCGTTAGCCTTTCTATTTCTGTACTGTTTTTCACCTTCGTCAAGAAGTTAGGCCACGCAAACGCCTAACCCACCAGAAAGCCCGGTCACGATCCAAGATTGGTTTTTGTTGGCCCTCGTCTTAGACCTTGGGGCCAAGGTAATTAAAGGAGTTGCTCAGTAAACCAAGAAAGGTAAAGGAAGCCAGAGTGAGGTAAATCAAAGTGTAGATCATAGAACACGAAGGTAATCAATATATTCACCTCTGAAGTCAATGAAAAAACCTCGAAGGTTTTCTCTCGTTAGTCTAATTATACATGTAATTCACTTTCTTCTTAAATGAAAAAAACTTGCTCATTTCTTATCTAACTAATGTACGATTTATTCCTAAACTTGTCGCTGGATTAAAAAGGATCCCCGAACTCAAATACCAGATAACTTACCTCCACCAATTTTAAAACTACGTAAAATACAGATTGCATTCGCTTAGCAACCAAACAACATCTTGATTTTTCTAGAATCCATGTTATATCACGGTAGACGCACAACAGTACGAGTCCATGTGTTCCCGTATCATGTGCCTACGGATAAAGCTATTGGGCATATGTACCACGGATCTCGCATGGACATATGTAGCTAAAGTAGGGCAGTAGCCTAGATTTCCAAAACAAGATCTCAAACGTCGTTCCTCGTGGTTGTGCTTGTCCGGACAACATTTCCATTATCGTCGCCTCTGGGTCCGGGAGGGCCTGCTCTTGAGGTTGAGCAGAGCACTTCTAGTAAGTCTCGTACATGAGGAAACACTCGTTGGGTTTCAGCAGTTTGTTCATGCTCCAAGTGCGGCGAGGACGATCCTTGGCTTTGAGGTCGTCCGGGTACTCACTGAACAGCACGAGGTTCTTCCACATATAGCGCCTCGCCACCGCGAGGACCTTGCACCAGAGCTGCCGGCTGCTGAGGTCGGCTCTCACCATGGCGGCCATGATGTTGGCGGCCATGAACGACCCCCGCGCCTTGACCGCCATTTCCATGGCCACCGACGCCAGCTTCTGGTGCTCGTCTGGATCAGCGCTCCCGAACGCGCTTAGCTTGAAGAAGTATCACATGGCTTCCGTGCTGAGGCATCTCAGCCGGACAGCTCGTGTCGTCCCAAACCTCTCGATCTTCTCAGACCGGCTCGTGATTATCACCTTGCTCCCCCACGACATGCATCTTCTGTTAGTTGATCTCCACCAATAGGCCTTGGGCCCTTGTCTCTGCTCCCTGGTCGGGGGAGCCCAACCCTAATATGGTTGGTGGGCCCCTATCACACAGCACATATAAAAGAGAGGTGGGGATCACGGCTCGCTACTACGAGGTTGGTCAGAGCCACCGTTGATCCACCACGATAGAAACCCTAAACCGATCTACGGTGTGCTGCCAACGATGGAATGCCCCACCACCGCCGTCGCCTCTACAGGATCACCAGCGCCACTGGACTTCATCTCCACCGCGCTGGAGGCCTACTACACCGCGGCACCGGCGTCCACGTTGCTGCGGTGAATCTCAACAAAGGCGAGAAGCCTCACTACGTATCTACGGTTACACAGAGGTACACTAATTCGATTCTAACATTGGTACCGGAGCCAGGTTGCCACTGTGTAACCCTAACCCTAACCGGGTAAAAGCAAAGAGAAAGAGAGACCAGGGTGGCGGACATCACTTTCTACCGGTCATCACCGCCATCGCGTGGGGAAAAAGATGCCGCACTGCCGTTCTCATCGGCGCACGTCAAGAGAAAAGAACCGAACACTTCCTTTTGGATCTGAATAGAGAAGGGGTTCCCTACCCCTAACCCTAACTGGGCTAAAGAAAGGGGGAAAAGAAAAGGTTTCGGCCTTAAGATGAACAGAGCCGAACCCTAAATCAAAAAAGAAATCCAAATCGGACTCAACCGAAAAGAGAAACAAGATCCAAAAGAAAAGAAGAGGGTTTTCGGCCTAGAAAAGAGTCAAATCCCGAAACCCTAACCCTAAATTTCAACCCTATCCCAAAATTGGGTTAATCCCAAAAGAAAAAAGGGAAGGGGAAGAAGGGGAAGGAATCAGTCTCGGGGAAGAACAGTGAACCCTAGCATCTCGATCTCAAATCAAAACAAATCGGGTTCAACCGAACCCTAACCCTAACTCGCATAGAGAAAGGGAAGAAGGGGAAAGGAACCGATTCGGATGGGAAGGGAACCCATTCGGATGAACTTTGAAAAGGAAAAGAAATCAAAAGAAAATGAAACCCTAACCCACCCAATCGGTCAAACAAAGAAAAGCAATCAAGATCTAAATCCGATTGGGAAACAAGGGAAAAAGAAAACAGTGAAACCCCATCCCAAACCCTAACCCTAATCCCCAAATTGGATGAAATCCGAGCACAAGAACCAAAGAAACCGAAAGGGGAAGAGGGGAAAGGGGTGGCTTACCTTGCCGTCGTGCACGCCGGCGCGTGGGGAAAAGAAAGGGTCGGCCGGGGGCACTGCTCGCCGGGATCCGGCCATAGGGGCGCGTGGGGAAAAGAAAGGGCCGGCTGGGAATGCGCACGCCGGCGAGGGGGCCGGCGACGGTGCCGGGGCTTGCTACTCCACTGATTCGCCCGCTCGCTCGCTCGGTGACTGCTGCGGCTACACTGAGGAAAGAAGAGAGAACGACGAGAGAGAAGAGGAGAGAGTAGCGAAGAGAAGGCGAAGAGAGAGACAACAACGAAAGGAATGAAGCTAGGGTTTTTGGCCGATGCGGCCGGTTGGTCCTTTTGTTCGGGCGAGACGGCCGGCGACCGTCGAATGCGATCCGATGACAGATCGCGATCGGGCCAGCGAAACGGCCCAGGCGAGCGAGCGCGCCACGGCACTTTGCTGGCCCAGGCCCAGGTTGCGGCCTGGGTGCAGCCTGCGTGCGCGCGGAGAGGTGGGCCGAGCCGGCCTTTTCTCGGTTTTGGGCCGAGAGTAAAGAATGAGCCCGTTTCACATTTTTCTTTTTCCTGGAAAATTGAAAATGCAAATTGACTCAAAAGAAAATTAGAAAAAGGTACTTTACCTGTGGGTAAAATTCAAGAAATTGAAAAAAGGTTTTTTCCGCTGCTAAAGAAAATATTCATTCTCCAGTTATTTTGAACCAATGTGGTATTTAATTGGAGAAAAAGAGATTTGACATGATTATGATATTGTTATTTTTTGATCAACGTTGTTAATAATAATATCGTAATTTTAATGATTTATGTATTAATTCTATTTTTGCCCAACGGTGATGTAGAATTAGTGTATAAGAAAAGTTGTTAATTTTAATGATTTATGCATTAATTCTATTTCTGCCCAACAGTGATGTAGAATTAGTGTATAAAAACAAATGTAAATTTTAATGATTTATGCATTAATTCTATTTCTGTCCAACAGTGATGTAGAATTAGTGTGTAAGAACATTTGTGAATTTTAATGATTTTATACGTTAATTCTATTTCTGTCCAATGGTGATGTAGAATTAGTGTATAAGAATAATTGTATGTTTTGATTTTGACCAACGTTGAAATTAAGGCATACAAATGGTGTTATTTTTATGTTAAGAAAAGGTTTGACCTGGTTTTCAGCGTGGCTGAGGTGGACTGGGTAGTCATCTCACCATGTCCCACTAAGTATGTGGTACCAGTGAGGGAGACAAAAGAGAATGATGTGATTAGGCAACTAAAGAAAGGGATTTTAAATCCCAAAAGATGTCCTATGACTTTGAGCATAGGATGTGGGTCGCTATCAACATAAAATGTTTGGCTGTGATAAAGAACACGATTGAGCCTGCAATTGTGGACTCAATCCCAGAGTGTGACACGATCACCGAATACCTCGATAAAATAAAGAGTCAGTTCACTGGCTCTTCAAAGATATATGCTACCCAGCTGATAAAGCAGCTGGTGACAGAGAGTTACTCTGGAAATGATGGCATAAGAGAGCTCACGATGCGTCGTCGAAATTATGGCACTATCGTTCAGGCCATATTTTGAGGGGGAGAATAGAAAGACTTGTTAAGAATGATATTCTTCCTCCATTAGAGCTCTCGGATTTAGAATAATGCAGAGAATGCATAAAAGGAAAGTATGTAAAGACGATTAAGAAAGATGCCAAATGAAGCGCATGAATTTTATAGATTATTCACACAGACATCTATGGTCAATTTCCTGTAAAGAGTGTGGATGGTTATGATTCGTTCATAACATTCACAGATGATTACTCCCATTATGGCTACATTTATCCATTCAAAGAAAGAACAGAGGCATTGGATAAATGTAGATATTTAAGGCAAAAGTTAAAATCCAACACAATTTAAAGATTAAGATAGTCGGGTCTGATCATGGAGGAGTACTACGGTCGGCATACCCCGTATGGCCAAAGTTCCTGGACCTTATGCAAGGTTCTTACAGGAGAATGACAAAGTAGCCCAGTATTCTATACCAGGCGAACCTCAGTAGAAAAGAGTAGTTGAAAGACGTAATCGTAAAATGAATGGATATGGTGCGCAGTATGATAAGTTACTCCACCATACGGTTGAGCCTGTGGATGAAGGCGTTAAAAACCGCCATTCATATTATCAAAAGAGTACCAAGTAAGTCGGTGCCCAAAACACCGTATGAGTTGTGGACAGGAAGAGTACCCTCACTAAACACTTGCGTGTGTGGGGGGAGCCCTGCTGAGGCTAAAGCATTTAACCCAAATATTGGGAAGCTAGATCCCAAAACAGTAAGTTGCCATTTCATTGGCTACCCAGAAAAGTCAAAAGGTTTTCGTTTCTACTATTCAGAGAGACATACAAAGTTTGTGTAAACAAGACACACTGTTTTCCTAGAGGATGAAAAGATGAGGGGGAGCATGGTTGCTCGAGAAATTGACCTTGAAGTGAAGCGGGTGTATGCGTCCACTCCAATGATTCATGAGCCAATTTTCTCACTACATGCTGTCGCTGCACCGACAGTGCAAGATACTATGGTGTCAGCACCTGTTGTTATTCCACCTGTGGCAATAATGAATGAAAATGAGGAACCTGTTCTTCAGGATCCTATAGAACCTATTGACACACATGAATAAGCCATGAAAAGTAATAATTCATCAAAGTGGCTTGAGGCCATGGAAGATGAAATGAAATCAATGAATGCCAATATAGTTTGGGACTTGGAAATAATTCCTAAAGGAGCCAAAATAGTAGGCTATAAATGGGTCTACAAAACAAAACTTGACTATCATGGGAATTGTCGATGTTTTACCACCGATAGCCTGTCATGGGGGTACCCGGGGCAGTATGTTCGGGCTTCAATGTATGCAAAACTCGATGGTTAACGCAAGAGACAGTCGATTTATCCTGGTTCAGGCCCTCGATCGTGGATCGAGTAATAGCCCTACGTCCAATCGGCGTTAGCCTTTGCGTTGGATTGATTGTGAAGAGCTGTGTTGTACAATTGTTGTCTTGAACTCTTGATTCAAGGAGCTCTGCCCTCCTTTATATAGTCAGAAGGCCAGATTCCTAGTCGGTTTATAGTGAGAGTTCCTAGTAGGATTACAGGATAATACTACTACTAAGATTACAGGAGAAGAATCCTAGTCAGGCTAGTTCTTCTCCCTTCCTTACTGGGTACCCCGTGGGTCCCGCACCGACAAGCCCCCGAGCACTTCATGGTTGAGTTCTGGAAGCCTCGTCTTGTTCCTTCAAGTCTTGTCGAGCAGGAACAAGTGTCGTCCGAGTGCTTTTTTGAGCGAAACCGTGTAGCGCTTTGTGAGATCTTCGCGTGGTGTGTACCTTTTTGAAGAAAAAAGTACCCCCATTTGGATGTAGCCCCCGAGCCTCTTGTTGTTTGGCACAAGGAGCTTGAGGGTCTTTTCTTGAAATCTTACTGATTCTTCGTTGAAAGGCTCCCCGGCTTCCTTGTTGAAAAGAGCTCTGATTTAGCTGTGTTCGGGTTCTTTTTGTCGGAAAGAGCTCGGATATAGCTATGTCCGGGTTCTTTTTATCTTGTGGCCCTAAAGTCG